CTCCTAAATCACTCGTACGCACAACTTAAGAACAAATCTGTGCGTACGAACGGTTCTTGCATGAGACCCAATGAGTGGAAAAAAAATCTGTTAATTCACCTACTCTTTATTAAACAAAGCAAATAATTTTGAGTTTGATATATACTTTTACTCACGTTTTACAGAATTGGAAACAGCTTCTGTTTTTACAGGAAAAAGAATAGACATTTATTCATAAAACCCGAGTTCACAAGTGTCATCCAGCTTCGTTGTCAACATGACAACAAGATGTCTCAGAACTGAGATAAAGACACTGATGCACCCAAACAAACTCAGATCCACACCAAACACTCCACAGATTCTCAGCTTCACATGTCAGTGTACACTGATCTGACACAGGTGGAAAAAAAACAAATCACAAGCAACAAAAGACACATACATACACAGCATGTGTGTTGCAATGCAACCTTCCTTCACACACCAGTGTTAGCTGTTCCATTCACAGCCATTTTTAATGGCTCCACCTGCAGGTACATCCTAATTTCAGTTAGGGAACCACAATTTATCGTCCGGTRGTAGCAGAATGTGGAGTCTTCTGTGGCCTTCAGCCCTAGGCATGGAACTGACAAGTCAAACATTTGTTTTATTTAAAGATACAAAAAAAGCTAAATGTTCTAGTTGGTTAAGGTTCAATGCATTAATGCTGTATGCTAAATATTTGTGATAAAATGTAATAGTTTAATGAGACAATTAAATTCAAACTTTAATGAGAAGAAATAACTTTTTTTCATTTTCATTCGTTCTTCTTGAAATCTTAAACTACAGGCAAGTGCATTACAAAGAGTTGGGTGTGCGATGGGGACGTTGACTGTGAAGATCGCTCAGATGAAGAGTCTTGTGAGTCAGCTGCCTGCAAGCCACCCAAGAACCACTGTGCCAATGACACCTCAGTGTGCCTCACACCTGACAAGATCTGCAATGGCAAAGTGGACTGTGCTGACCGCTCCGACGAAGGACCCATTTGTGGTACTGTTTGTCTGATTTTGTTTTTAATTGGTTTCTTTATTATCCTGAAAGTGTATCTTACCCCCCTGTGAAAAGATAACTCCGCCCCAAGGCGAAATTTGAAAAATGCATTAAAGTGGGTAGGGGAGGGGGTGTGGGTAGGGAAGGGGTGGTTAGAGAGCGGAGGTGTGGCTAGGACAAGAGAACGTGACAGCTAGCATTAGCATAATTGATGCTACATGGAGAGTGACCACAGCGACGCAGATAGTTACATCTCTAAACGGTCTGAGGTGGAGGATTTTTCACCCCCCTCCTCACCAGAGGCAGAGAGAGACTTGATCAAGTCAGTTCAGTCTGGGACTGACTCATGTTGGCTCCCCCTGGGTCAGGACCCAGCACGCTTTACTGCAGCCTCGGCTGAGCTCTCTGCCTCACACCACACCAGCCTCGGACAGAGGAGGAGGAGCGCTCCGCGAC